GTGTGTGTGTGTGTAGTATGTGGGTAGTGTGTGGATAGGGTGTGTGTAGTGTGTGTGTGGGAAAGGATGGAGTGTGTGTGTGTGTGAGGGTGGAGTGTGTATGTGTGAGGGTGGAATGTGTATATGTGTGTGTGTTGGGGAGGTGGGTAAGGGTAGAGTGTATGTGTGTGAAGGTGGAGTGTGTGTAGTGTGTGTGTAGTATGTGTGTAGGTGTAGTGTGTGTGTGTGTATGTGTGTGTGATGCTTGCACTGCTACTTCTGCCACCATCTACACGGGGCAGGTCTTCAACTCCTCAAAGGGGACCTTCTGAGCTTTAGAATGTGGGTGTCTCTTGTGGCCGGATCCCTCTGCAGGTGTCCTGGTGTCCAGGTTCTGGACGGCTGGACATGGAGGATATTGCCCATCTCTTCCCACACTTCGCAGGTCTCTATCTCGTATCCCGCTCTCTGAATGCCCGGGGCATTTTCTGCTCTGGCTCCTCCCAGGACCATTCCTCCCAACCAGCTTTACTGCGTTTTATTACACTCTCCATGGAATGCAGTAAAATTCTTTTATGAGGCTATTCACAGGCAGAAAACCTGGGCGGCATCTTAGTTGTGTGGCGCCCAAGTTCTGCGACTCTGGGCAGTCACCTAACTTCTTCAGGCCTCAGATTTCTAGCCCAGGAAGTTGTGTTCTTCGTTGGTGAAGCCTCCTACCCTTAGGTTCCTCACCTGTGAAATAAGAATGAGTAATTCCTGCCTGACCAGGCCGTCCACATTGCAGCGGTTTGTGGCGTCCTGTCCCAGCCTAACTGCAGCAGTTGCTCAGTATATCTTAATAGTCTTAATAGTCGCTCGGGGATATTGGTAGGTTTTTTTTTTTTTTTTTTTGGTGGTGGAGCATGGTTTGGAAGGTGCTGTTAGGAAAGTCTGAAGACCTAGACATTGGGAATAGGTCCAGGTAGGGGTGTGTCAGCTTTCAGATTAATCTCCTCGACCTGGCCGGTGACAGCTAGACGTATGTTCAGGCAGTTCTGGTTAAGTACGCGTAGTGCTGGGGGATGACTGCACCAAGGGCATCGTGTTCCCTAATCCCAGGAAAACCAAGGTCCAAAGTGACTTCCATGGGGTCACATGGCTAGCTAGCAGTGACCTAGCTCTGGGGCCCGTTTTCTGATTTCAGTGTCCTTCCAAGAACAGTTGGTTCTTGCACGTGAGCACACACGGAGTCCCGGAGGCTGTGGGGATATGTGTCAGTGTGGTTTTTGTCCAGGGCGAAGGAGGAAAGTGACGGAACAGCTCTGGTCAGCAGCCTGTCCTCATGGTCTTTTCCCAGCTTGTGGGGTTTATTCAAAAGAAGCTCATTCAGGAATTCCTTATCAACACTTCCTATTAATAGCTAACGCTGATTGAGCACTTACTGTATACACACATGGTCTTTTTTAGCCTGGCACGACATCCCTGTGATGGAGGGTTCTTCTTGTTAGTTCTTTTTAAACTAATTTTTTTTTTTTTTTGGTTTGTTTTTCGAGACAGCGTTTCTCTGTAGCTTTTGAGCCTGTCCCGGAACTAGCTCTTGTGTACCAGGTGGCATCCATCTCACAGAGATCCGCCTGCCTCTGCCTCCCGAGTGCTGGGATTAAAGGCGTGTGCTACTACCACCTGGTTTAAACTAACTTTTTTTTTTAATTGTGGTAAAATACATATAACGGAATTTACCATCTTAACCTGTGTGTGTGTGTATAGTGTGTACGTGTGTGAAGATGTATTGTGTGTGTGGATAGTGTGTACGTGTGTGTGTGTAGTGTGTACATGTGTGTGTGTAGTGTGTACGTGTGTGAAGATGTATTGTGTGTCTTCCTCTCTCTCTCTCCACCTTATTTCTTGAGTCTCAGGGTCGCTCACTGTACCTGGAGCTCAGTGAAAGGGTAACATAGCTGATCAGCGAGCCTCCAGGGGTCCTCCTCTGGGTTTGCAGGCGTGTCAAACAGGTCAGCAGGACCCCCCCACTTTTGCTAAAACATGGTGCTGAGTTCAGGTTCTCACACTTGTGCAGCCAACACTTCTGACTGAACCATTCCCCCAGCCCCTTCTGAGCATTCCTTTGTATAATTTTTCCGTCTTGACCGTTAAGTATACACTTGAGTGGCATTAAATCTGTTTGTAATGGGACACCCTCATCGTCATCCATCCTCATAACTAATTTCATTTTGCTAAACTAAAACTCTGGGCCAGTTAAACAACTCTTCCTTCCACTCCTCCCTAGCCCCTAGCAACCATCATTCCCCCTTCTATCTCTGTGGTTTGATTGTTGTTCATAGCCGAGGAAGACTTTTACCCTCTACGTTATGACTGAAGGAACTGGGCTCCGAGAGCTGGGTGTCGTGCTCTGGTACCCAGTCAGTGGTGACACCGAGGGTCAGTCTCAGCTCGCTCATTCCCGTGCTCTTACTCTCTACCCTCCCTGTCCCCCCTGTCTCCTGTGTCCTGGGTGAAGAGGGGAGACAGCAAACACACGACCAAGACCTTATAAAGCAGCCAGTATCTAACACAATAGCTTTAAGTGGTTTTAACCTTGACCTACAGAAAGAAATATCTCATATATTATTACTCATTATGCATGCTAAATTACTCATTATGTATGCTACTTACTCAACATATATGCTAATTACTAATTATGCATGCTAATCATGCATTATGCATGCTAAATCCCATCCCCCCATAAATAAAAGGTTCCCCATCTTACATTGAAACCTTTATTAACATACTCAGGTATTTTCTATTCCATTCAATTCAATAGTAAACCTGATTTTGAGACAAACTGATTCCTAGTTCACAATTTGGAAAGCACCAGTTTGCCAGACACCTTACTTAATGCACCCTCTTCTCACCTGTCAATCATGAACAGGTACTGACTCAGCCTCTTTGCTCTTGCTTGCTGTGTGTGTCGCTAGGAAAGGACCCCAGCAGTCCTATGCTAGATTAGCTCCAAAGGGCTGGGTAAGATCTAAGCCATTGGGAGGTGACATGTCATGCAGGAGGCATAGCCGTGCTACCTCTGATGTCAGGGCCCCCTTGGGCTCCTGTCTCCATAGGCTCTGCCCCAGGGCTCACCCCGCTGTAACCTGAGGGAGAACCTGCTGAAGGACAGCTGTGCTCCAGAGTCCATTGAGTTCCCAGTCAGTGAGGCCCAGATCCTGGAGGACAGACCACTCAGCGACAAGGGTTCTGGAGACAGCGCCCGGATCACTCAAGTCAGTCCCCAGAGGATTGCCCTTCGACTGCGGCCAGGTAGGCACAGGGCTCATCTTCGGGAGACACCCAGCCCAAGCAGGCAAGGGACATCCATAGAAAGTCTGAGCAGGAACTCTTGTGGGTAAGGGGCAGCATGCACTAGAAATGGGGTGAAAGGAGGAGGCGGGGGGACAATTGTGAGTAGGAGAATGGAAGAAAATAAGAGGAGTAAGGATTTGTGTCAGAAGGTCCGAGTGTGAATCCCACCTCCACCCTGTTACTGGTTATTTGACTGGTTACTAGTTACTTAACCCTTCTGATGCCACCTCCTCCTGATGTGTTTTATCTAGTCTGCAGCAGCTTTTTATGGAGGCGCAAATGGGATAGAGGTTGAGAAAGCATTTTTTTTTTTAAAAAAAAACTTTTTCAAGACGGGGTTTCTCTATGTAACAGTCCTGGCTATCCTGAAACTCACTCTGTAGACCAGGTTGACCTCAAACTCACTAAGATCCATTTGCCTCTGCCTCCCGAGCACTGGGATTAAAGGTGTGCGCCACCACTGCCTGGCCCATTTGTGACCCCGTTTTCCACCATAGGGGAAAGGGACTGTTTAGGAGCAGACAAAGTAGGAACTGAAGAGGGAGGAGTGTTGGGCTAAGCTTTTCAATGCTTGGCCTGGCTGAATCAATAAGAATTGGAGAGAGCCTCACTGTATGCAAGGCATTATGGGATTTGGAGAAAAGCAGGGTGCTATTTATTTAGTTTTTGAGACAGGACCTCTGTTTAGCCCGGAACTCACTGTACAGCCCAGGTTGGCCTTGAATTTTCAGGAATCTCCCTGTTTCTGTTGTGTGCACACTGGGAGTATAGCCGTGTGCCACCGTACCCAGTACAGTTCCTGTCCTTCACAGAGTCTGACCTGTAGTTGCGGTCAAGAGTTGTGTGACTTGGGATAGTAGACCTGGGGACCCAGAGGGTCACACACATGGGGATCTATAGTGGGAAATCACAGAATGGAAAGGAAGAAGTTCAAGAAATTGCAAGATGAATGGAGTTATAATGGGGGGTGGGGTGGGAACCAAAACTTTCAAGCTTAATTTGACCGGACAGTTATTTATCCCCTATAGCGGAGAGGAGAGAAAAACTGACATCCTTCTGTCTTCCAGATGATTCGAAGATCTTTTCACTTCAAGTGCGGCAGGTGGAGGATTACCCTGTAGACATCTACTATTTGATGGACCTGTCCTTCTCCATGAAAGATGATCTGTCAAGCATCCAGACCTTGGGTACCAAGTTGGCTTCCCAGATGCGCAAGCTTACTAGCAACCTTCGGATTGGCTTTGGGGCCTTTGTGGACAAACCTGTATCACCATACATGTTCATCTCCCCACCAGAGGCCCTCAAAAACCCCTGTTACAGGTAACACAAGCTAGTGAAGCACCTCTTCCCTTTGTCTCAGGCTGGACCAAGTCATAGTTGCCATTTTAAACTCCAGGTTTTTTTTCTTTAGAAATTTATTAATTTTATTTCTATATATATGTATGTTTTTGTGTCTATGTATATATGAGTGCCAGGTGACTGTGGAGGCTAGAGGAGGGTGTCAGACCCCCTGGAACTGGGGTTACAGGTGATTATGAGTCGCAAACTCTGGTCCTCTGGAAGAGCATCAAATCTTTTAACCACTGGGCCATCTCTCCAGCCCCTTGGAGGTTGTTTGGTTGGCTGCTTTATGCAAAGCCATATAGTTTTCAACTTCTTCTCTGCCTGGCAGATGGGCCTCCTATCTGGAGTATTATGCTAACAGGCTCAAGGCTGCTAGGGGCTGCTTGGGTCCTACACAGAAATGTCATCAGCTTATTGGCTTTGTCCCAGATGAATAGAAAAATAGAGGAAGAGGAAAGTGAGGGGCGGATGAGGTCAAGAGTGGAGAGAGATCTCGATGAGTGAAAATGTCACTATGTTTTCAGAAGAATTGGTTCTAGTCTCATTATTGTAGTCATCAAGAGCACAAATTTTGCAGAGTTAAAATGTAAGAAAATTAAGTCACTTTTTTGAATTTTAACAGTATATTATTAGTTAAGTTCTCCCTCTATTTGCCTCCTTTATAAAAATATATATGTTTAAATTTTGTTTCATACATATCAATGTTTGCTTGCATCAAGCATGTCTGTGTACCATGTGTGTGCCTGGTGCCATCAGAGGCCAGAAGAGGGTGTTGGATCCCCTGGAGCTGGAGTTACAGACGTTTATAAGCCACCATATGGATGCCAGAAATTAAACGTGGGTCCTCTGGAAGATCAGCCAGTGCTCTTTTTATTTTCCTTTTTCTTTCGGAGACAGGGTTTCTTTGTGTAGCCCTGGCTCTCCTGGAACTCACTCTATAGACCAGGCTGACCTCGAACTCAGAGACTCACCTGTCTCTGCCTCCCAAGTGTTGGGATTAAAGGTGTGTACCACCACCGCCTGGCCAGTCAGTGCTCTTAACCACTCAACCATATCTCCAATCCTCACACCTTTTTCTTTGAGACAGAGATTTTTGTTATGTAGCGTAGGCTGGGCTCAGCCTCCCGAGTGCCATATTACAGGCATGCACCAACCCATCTTAGCCCTGGGGTTGGAGGAGCACTGGGAATTGAATTTGGGATCTCATGTTTGCTAGGCAGACGTCCTACTTCCGAACGATGTATCCAGCCCTGTGCCGCTGTTTAGCTTCTGCATTAGTTACTTTTCTTGCTGTTGTCACCAAACACTTGGCGGAGGCAACTTAAGTGGGGTAAGGTTTGCTTTGGCTCGTGGCTCAGAGGATGTAATCCATCGTGACGGGTAAGGCATGAAGTCTAAAGTGGCTTGGTTTGTGGTGGCAGGAACCCGTGGCAGCTACCTGCTATACCAGGGCTGGAAGTGGAGCTGACTTCGAACAATCCAAACAGAACGAGCCCTGCCCATATAATCCTATTTACACCGGCTAGGCTCTATGTTTTAAAGATTCTACAGCCTCCATGAAATGTGTCACCACCTGGGGACCAAGTATCCAAACATGCAAGTCCATCTGTTCAAACTATAGCAGTCTATTGAATGGCTTACTTGATGAAGCTGTAAATGCATGGATAGTAGTGATTTAACGATGATCACCGGGGGCTGGGGAGATGGCCCAGTGGTTAGGAGTGCTTCCTGCTCTTCTGGAGTTCAGTTTCTGGTACCTAGGTCGGGAAACTCTTAATCTAAGCCTGTAGCTCCAGCTCTAGGGGATCTGGTGCTGTTTTCTGGCCTCCATGGGCATCTGCACACATTCGTTCTCTCTGTCTCTGTCTCTTCTCTCTCCCCTCTCATCTTCTCACTTTCCCTACTCCCATGTAATTAAAAATAAAGGCTATTAAAATAATGATTGCTGAACTGACAGGGCATTTTTTTTTAACTTTTAAAAAATTCTACAGCACAGTTTTTCAGTGTCTGTCTGGGCTATATGTTTCCCAGAAAACATATCCGGGGACAGCATGGTCTGTAAATTTACTGAACATCTGCTTTATTGTTGCAGTGGGGAAAAAAAGTGTCAATGATGCCAGCCATGATAGCTGGAGCCTTCCCCTTGTATAATTGCTTTGCTTGGTCTTGCAATAGCTCTCATGAGATAAGCACCATTGTGTCTCCATAAGCAAACCTGCCGCTGAGCTACACCTCCACCCCCTTGTCTTCATTTGGCTTGTGTATTACTTACTTTTCTTGTTGCTGTGCCCCAAGTACTTTCTGGAACGCGGGTTTAGAGAGGCTGTCCAAGATCCCGTGCTTGGTAAATGGGGAGCTGGGCTTTAATCTGTCTTGTCTGGTTTTATTACTGCCTTTTCTGTCCTTTTGGCTATCTGGGGTATGGTTGTGGTGCCATAGGTAATCTGAAGGGCTTGAAGTCTAGACTGTCTCAGTAATTGTGGTTCTGTGGGGCTGGAGTGTAGCTGTGTGACAGAACTTTTATCTGGCATGCATGAGGTTTTGAGTTCAATCCCCAACACTGCAAAATAAAAAGAGAAAAATCAATATGATATGGACCTAGTCTGGACTACGCCATTGTCCATATCTGTCCCTCTCTCTTTACCTGACCCTCAAACCACCTTTACGCCACAGCTTCTGTTAAGATGACCTCTCCTTCCCCTCAGTATGAAGACTGCTTGTTTGCCAATGTTTGGCTACAAGCATGTGCTGACGCTAACTGACCAGGTGACCCGCTTCAATGAGGAAGTGAAGAAACAGAGTGTGTCGCGTAACCGAGATGCCCCAGAGGGCGGCTTTGACGCCATCATGCAGGCTACAGTCTGTGATGTGAGTTTGGAGGGCAAGGGGTGCCAGGTGTCGCTGGCACAATTCACAGCGGGGAAGGAAACAGTTCAGTTGGGGATTTCCGGTGTGATGGGGGAGAGGAACCAAGCAGGACTTGGTACAGTGTGAGTAATCAATTGTTCTGCTACACAGTCTCTCTTTATAGCCACACCAAGGCCACAGCTGACACCTCGCTGAACCACAGTAACCCCAGACCTTTCCTAGGGAGAACAGCGACCCACATGTTCTGGAATTATTTCAGAGTCAAGCTCAGGAAAGCGAGCGGATCTTAGGGTGGGATTTCTTCTAGCCTGGGCCAGCTCCGGGGATACAGATGCCTTCCGGTCACTGGAGGAGTTATGTGTGGAGCTGAAGAAGGCGGGACTCAGCCTCCTGCCCTAATCAACAATGGAAATGATTAAGGGAAGAAAGCCTGGAGTGGAACGTCCTAGTTTATGTTCCAAGGCTTGGGGCTGAGCTCCCTCTCCAATGTCCAGATCTTTAGGTCCAGAGGTTCTCGTGTCTTTGTTCAGCACTGATGATGTAGCTGAAGTCGCTGTATCTTTTTTTTTTTTTTAAACCAGGAACAAATTGGCTGGAGGAATGACGCGTCCCACTTGCTGGTGTTCACCACCGATGCCAAGACCCACATTGCACTGGATGGAAGGCTGGCAGGCATTGTCCTGCCCAATGATGGGCAGTGTCACATTGGCAGTGACAACCATTACTCTGCCTCCACGACCATGGTGAGATGCCTGGTCCCCCTGTGATCCTTGTTCACTCTGATAGGGCTGTCTTATTCCAGGCAAGGGTTTTGTGTGAATCTGAGAACAGCCTTTGTGCTGGGTATTATATGGGACTCAGCTAATACCTGTTTCTGCCACATCCAAATGGGGCACCCTCATTCAGGGTATAAACGGTCCGCCATGAGAGATGACCGTGCCTGTGTGAGTGTTCACACTGACTCCACGGTCATCAGCATCAGCCCCGGCATCTCGGCATCCAGCATGTGCTCAGGTACATCTGGAAAGCCCGCTTCCCTTCTTCCTCCATGGATGGGTCCTGTCTTGGGATCAAGCTCACGTGTGGTTGCTGGAGAAAGATGGGAAAAGAGGACAAAGGCCTCATTGATGAAGTGAAAGACCCAGAGAGCAACGCCTCTTGGGGGAAGGTTGAAGGGCAAAGAGCCATTTGGTTTGAAGGAAAGATGATTTGTGGATAATTTAGGATGATGGGTAAGGAAACTCCTGAAAAGTTATTTTATATGCTTTAATTAACTATAGACAGTTAATTAAGAGGAAAGGAGCTTAAATTTAAATGGGAGCAATTGCTGTCAGCCGTTAGGTGAATGTTGCAAAGTTTAAAATAATAACACTGTGGGTAGTTGGATTAAGTCTTGATTTTTTGCCTATCTTGTCCCCTTACCCCCTTCATTTTCTTAAGACAGGGTCTTGCCATGCAGCCCAGGCTTGTAATTCTTAGTCCTCTTGCCATTACCCCACATATGTGAGAGTACAGTCATGTGACACTATGCCTGCTTTGCTTATTTATTTATGGAGGAAGGGTCTTGTTCTGTATATAGCCTATGAAGACTGGCCTTCACCTTGCAATCCTTCTGCCTCAGTCTTCCGAGTGTTGGGATTAGAAATTTATACTACCATGACTGTTTTTTTCCTGGTCTGGAGATTGAATCCAGCGTCTCACAATATATTACATAAATGTTCACCTGATGACGCAGGGCGATCGGTAATGAAAAGTCCCCAGACTATCCTACAAAAGATACAGCTTTAATAAAAACAGAAGGGAAAACTTACACAGAATCTCACCCTCCTGGAACGCTGGATCCAAGCCAGGTCGAGAGCGAGAGCGAGAGCGAGAGCGAGAGCGAGAGAGAGAGATAGATAGAGAGAGATGGGGGGCAGAAATACCTGCCAAGTTTATAGGTAAACTTTTGCCTTAGGGCGACACGCCCCACGAACAGAATGTGATTGGCTGAACTCCCCTATCATTCACCCACTGAGCCATTCCCAGTCTACTCTTTACTTTTTAAAGTCAATAAATGTTGACTGCTAAGTTGATCTGATACAATCAAGGGCTGTCGGCATAAAGGAGGAAAAGCTCTGTAGGAGCTAGGGTGGTCAAGGAGGACCTTGTGGAGGAGGTGAGCTTAGGCTAAGGAAGAAGGCGGATTGCCAAGATGAGGTCACTCCATGGGCAGGAGGAATGAGGTGGAGCAGTGCTGAGTCGAAGAGGGGTAGGGGGGAGTGGCGGTTGGTGATCATGAAGTAGGTGATCCATAGAGCGAGGCTAGACCGTTTGCCCAGAGCTCTACAGCAGGATAGATAGAGCGAGGCTAGACCATTTGCCCAGAGCTCTACAGCAGGATAGATAGAGCGAGGCTAGACCATTTGCCCAGAGCTCT